CACCCCCGGAGTACTATACAGTGGAACTCTGCTCTGATTCAACAAGCTCGAATTCAACGAGAACTTGATTCAACGAGATAAGACAGATTCCCCGTTTTCTTTCTTCTTTAAAATCAATAAAAATAACCTGAATTCAATGAGCACTTAAATCAGCGAGCTCGCTTCCAAGGTGAACAGTCCCCGTAGACGCGGCTTCGCTCGTTTTTCTCCCAGAACGAACTTTATCTATTTCCGGAAACCATCCATTGCACCTGCATCGAGAACCATTATCATTATTCGCTTAGCCGATTACATGCGACCAATCAGTGGCCTTTTTTTTGTACCAACACATGCGTTTTTGGCATGCGCACGTGTCTACTCTAGCGGGTGTCGGAGTCGGTTGGGCGGATGTGGCTGTGTGTGTGTCGGGGGGGAGACATTAGCGATCCAGGCGTTGAACGCATGGGTGAAAGTGACAAGAGACGGTTTAGCCTGAAAATTCTGTTGTTAGAGAACGGATAGCCTGAAAAGTTCATGGTAAATTCACACGGCCTGAAGATTGGGGTACGCTTCTCAATTTTCCGGGGGCATGTTACATAACAGGGACAGCACACGCTCTATTTAAATACACACACACACACACACACACACACACAAACGAGTACATAGCCAACATTATATAATATGTATCCAGTCAACAAAATTTCAGTGCGGAACAGGAGTCTTGTGTGACGTACGTATTTCAGTCTGTTCTTACTTGTTAGATATTTTTTCACAAGTGACAGTACAGATACAAAATTTGATTTCTTTTCTTGGCGACACAGCGTTTATAGTGGACGGCCTGTATGTCACAAATGTTGCGTTACCAGTCTATCACCGGCCAAGTTCTGGGTGGTAACGAATGCGAAAGTAATCTTAATATTCCCGATCGAGCCACGGTGCCACACGCTTCTTCATGCCACCATAGAGGCCAGTTCGCGTAACACGTACTGTCGGACCGGGAAAAGCTGAACGAATGCCACAATCGCGACCGGAAAAAATTAACTTACTGACCATATCGGAATTTGTTTTCAAATATTCCAGAACTGTTTCTATTTTCCCCCGAGTCTTCCCGACTTTTTCCATGGGGTAATTTACAAATTTCCTCAAATTATCGGGTCTCGGCGATTTTAATCAAATTACTGTCCCATCGCCAGCTATGGAAGACTTGCCGGGCCCGCGTAGCCGGAGGGTGGCTTACGGGCGAGTTCAAGTAGCCGGAAATTCCGGCAGGAGCCGGAAAACTTTCACCCCTGGTTGAAGTCGCAGATACAAACGCGCCAGTCTTTTTTCCTCCTGCAACTGATCATTATTATAATGATAAGCTAGTCTCGACGTAGATCTACATAATGAATTGTGCCCTGGTCTATGGAATAAAAAGTTGCCGTATGCTAGGCTCTACACAGCAACACAACTTTTTGGAAAACAATCGGGATGACACAGGCGTGTGCATTTGAACGAATCTGTCTTTTTTTTTACACCGCTCATAATATGCAGGCATTTCAGGCACTACTTGTGACTTCTCTTTCTACATTACTTGCTCAATGCTTGTAATTATCAACACAAAACCTCGTGTTTGCTATAATGAAAAATCGGATTCAACAAAATTGGTCTGGCAGCCGTTTAGCGCCGCTTGTTTTTGTAAACACACATGCTGGTCCTCTCTCTGGCGACGCGCTTGGTTCAGCAATGGCGAAGAATTATTTACGTGCACTACCTATTTTCGATTACACTCTATTCACGTACATAAGTGCATATCAAGGGCTTCATTGTGCTTCCAATCATGGATAGGGATATTCTGGAGATGTGCGGTAAGTTGATTTTGTTAATTAGATTGTTATAGTGTTACATAGTTCTTCATAAAGTCATCAACCTTTGCCTGACCTAGATCTAGCTAGGGCTTGAAGCCGAGATCGCAGACATGCGAACGG